GGAGGAGGAGGAGGAGGAAGAGGAGGAGGAGGGCACTTACCACTGTACGGAGTGTGAGGATTCCTTCGACAACCTCGGGGAGCTGCATGGGCACTTCATGCTGCATGCCCGGGGTGAGGTGTAGGCAGGGCCTCTACCCAGGAAGCTTGGCAGAAGGGTTGGGGTGGGTGGGGCGGGAGAAGGGGGCTGAGGACATTGGGGTGGTCGCAGTGGTCATAGGGATGGGGTCCTGCCAATCTGTGTCGTCTTAGCAGTAGATGTGTGAAGGACAGAATAAAAGCCAAACTCTGTGTGTGTCAGTCCAGGGTGTGTTTGGTGTGTGTGCATATATGTGTGTGTATGTACATGTGAGGCATGTGCCTGGGCATTTATCTCACCCTCCCCAGGCCCCTTCTTGGGAAACCTTAGGATCATTGTTGCCAAGGTAATTAACATTACCTAAGTGCATGTGTTCAACGTGGTTTCCTTGTATTTAATCACAGACCCCATGATGTACTGGGTCAGACACAACAGAATTTTGTTTCTCGTTCACGCAATAGTTCAGGGTGGGTGTTCCAGGTGGACAGGTTCCATACGGTGATTTGAGGACCCAGGCCATCCTGTGAGCCTTTTGTCATTCACATGGTTATGGCTGGGTTCTGCCTGTAGAAGAGGAAAAGAGAGCCCAGAGAGGTACGCACATTCTCTAGAAGCCCAGCCCGGACGTGGCGCACACTGCTTCCATTTCCCTTCTTTTGCTGAGAGACTAGTCACATGGCCACAGCTTCCTGCAAGGGAGCCTGGGAAAGGCAGCCTAGCCAAGTGCCCAGAAAGCAGAAAAGAATTTGTGGAAGACAGCTAGTGCTCTCTGCCACTTCGTCTAAGAACCATCACAAAGAGGACTTTAATTATAATCATAGCTGTGCTTTCTGAGCGCTTCCTGGGTGCCAAGTGCCAGTCCAAGAGCTTTATATATATTGACTCATAGAAGTTGTGCATCTAGGAACTTACAAAAATAGAACCTTAATTATAATTGCAGTTGCCATTTCCCAGCACTTCCAGAGTGCTGCATTTGATTTGCATGAGATCATCAGGTCCTTAGAATAACTCTGCAAGATAGGGACTGTGATCCGTTAGTTCATTTAACAAGTATTTTTTGAGTCCTTGCTGTGTGCTAAGCACTGGGAATACACCAGTGAAGGAAAAAATTCCTTGTCTTCATGAAGCTTCCATGGAGGAAGGGGCCACTGGTGGGGACAGATGGTAAATAAGTAAGACGTTGCCTATGCTGGATGGTGGTAAATACTGTGGAGATAAATAAAGCAGAGAAAGGGGAACAGTCCTGGAAGAGGGTACAATTTTAAATAGTGTTGTCCTCCCTAAGGAGGTGACAGAGACCTAAGCAGAGACCTGAAAGGGGGAGGGAGGGAGCCAGCCATGCACAGCAGGTGGGGGGAGGCAGGAGCCTGCTCCCCCTGGTCAAGGCCAGAGGGGCCGGAGAGGCAAAGGTGGCAGAGCTAGAGCAGTGAGGCCAGAGGGGAGCAGAGAGCCAGCTCATTACAGCCTTCTTGAAACATTGGCTCCCACTCTGAGATGGGAGGTACTACTCCGCAGAAGCTTGGCACCAAAGCTTCTTTGAAAATAGAAGCCTAATTATTATAATAGCTACCATTTACTGAGCATTTACTGTGTGCCAGGCTCTAAGGCGCTTTACGTGTGTTAACTCATAGAAGCTTGGCAACTAAGAACCTTCAAGAATAGAACCTGAATTACCGTAATGGCCATCATTAAGTCAGCGCTCACAGCGGACCAGGCCCTGGGCTAAGAACTGTATATGGACAATCACGTCGGATCCTTGTGAGGTAGGGACTGTTACTTACTCATTCATTCAACGGTGGTCTATTGAGCACCTGGGAGATGCAGGCACTATTTGGGGAGCTGGGGATAGAGTGGTGAAAACAGTGAACAATAATCCCTGCCTTTGTGGAGGTTGTATTATAAAGAGGAAAACAGGTAGTTAAACATTTAAGTAAAATATATATAATGAATGGAATGTTAGAAGGTTGTAAGTACTGTGGAGGCAAAGGGGAGGGGGTGGGGAGGCTCGTGTGTGTGTGTGTGTGTGTGTGTGTGTGTGTGTGTTGAAGCAGTTTCAAGTGGTGTAGTCAGGGAAGACTTCACTAAGAAGGTGACATCAGAGCAGAGACCTAAAGGAAGGGGAGTAGGCCACGTGGCTGTCTGTGGGCACAGCGAGTGCAAAGGCCCTGAGGTGGGAGGCTGCTTAGAATGTTTGTGGGAGCGTACTCAGGGCCACGAGGCTGTTGCTGAGGAAGGCAGGGGGAAGACTGGTGGGAGGGGAAGGACAGAGGGGAAGAGGGCCAAGTTGTATAGGCTATTATTCCCACTTCGGCTTTCTCTCTGAGTCTGAGTCATTGGCATAATCCTTAGAGGCGTAGGGGCTATTATCATGACCATTTTACACCTGCTGTAACCAGGGCACAGAGAGCTTGAATAATCTGCTAGAGGTCACACAGCTAGGAAGCAGCAGAGCACAGGTTTGAACCCAGACAGCTGGATACAGGGCACACAATCTTAGCCACTAAGCCACACACCATAAGTGGCTGTCCACAGCCACCATCTGATACGCAGGAGTATATGTGGTCACAAGAATTACTGAGGTTTTTAAAATCACATTAGTTACCAACAAAAAATGGGCAGATTTGACATAAAAATGGCAGTTTCTGGGTTCTCTGTGCAATCAGTTGCTGAACCCTCAATCCCACGGGGCAGTGGTTTGCAGGAGCTGAGTCGGGGGTCATGAACTATTAATGGGCCATTCTGTCCCACATGCCCAGTCCCCACTGTCTGGCATCTGGACCCCTCACACCCTGTTTGCCCCAAAGAGCATTTGCATTTTGACACCTGTTACAGGACCTTAGACCACAGCATCTTTTACAACCCATGCTTTTCATCCTAGAAGCTCAGAATCTCAGAATGTGACATTAATCCACTCTTTGAGACTTTCCTAAGTGCTATAGCTGAGCATCGCTGAATCTCAGAATTGTCAAAGCAGAAATTCACAGCTCGTTAAAACCACACTGATGGATTTTATTTCCTGGGGCAGCATGCCTAAACCCTCTTCTGCCTTAGGGTTTTCTAAGCACAGATGTAGGGAATTACCCATTCATCATAAAAGTTCGTAAGGATCACGAGAGACTAGGGATCAAGACACCTGGTCTGCTGCCAGTGGGGTCGTTCAGTTCTTCAAGGCCCAGTCAGTATATGGAAACCGCACTAGGAATTCCAAAGAGGATTCAGTACCGGAAATTGGTTACAGAGGTATTAGAAGGCTAAAAGCACAAATGTGGAAAAGTCAGGTAACCGAGAAATTAGTGTCTGCAAGAAGCTCCCACCTGTAGGACTGGGGTACAGAAAAAGAATGCAACGACCAGAACCCAGTGGGAGCTTGGAGGATGGGCCACGTGCGGCTGGTGCAGGGACCAGGGACAAGGTGCCACAAAGCTGCTGCAAGAACCTTGTGCCGAGTATAGAAAGGAGCCTGAACTGCTGCTGGAGGGGTTCCAGCAACAGCCCAAGGCAAGGTGAGGCCCTTCCCCCCTCTTCCAACCTTCCTTCTGCCCATACCTTTTGTGGGAAGAACTTAAGGAAACCAGCTGTCCGGGGAGTCTGGGAAGCATAGTTGTAGCAGGCCCAGCATCCCAGAGCAGTGTGGAATGGTGGGCTGAGGCTGAGCTAGGTAAACAGCTGGGCACAGTCAAGGAGTTATTTTTTGAGCCGCCACAGTAAGCACTGTCCCAGGTTCTGGGGAGGAAGCAGTGAGGAAGACACCACACTTGCTCTCAGGGGCTTGGATTTCAAAGGAAGGACACAGATGATGACATAAACAAGAGTGGTAATTCCAGGTGTTGGAGAATTCTAGGAAGAAAGTACATCAGAGTGAGGGTTGGTAGTGCTGTTTTAGCCAAGGAAGACCTCCTTGAGGTAGCAGGTGTTGAGACCTGAATAACGAGGAGGTAGCCTTGCAAAGTTCTGTGTAAGCAGGAAAGGCAAAAGCCCGCCTGGCACGTGCGGCTGGAGTGTAGTGAAGATGACAGAAAGGGAGCTGAGATTTCATAGTGAGCTGGGACCCAGTCACTATTGGGTTTTGTGGGCCCAGGTAAGTTCTTTGGATGTTATTTATGGGATGCCATTGGAGGGTTTTAAATGATTGATGTAAGCTGATTTACATACACACAGGGAGTTGTCCGTTGTAGAGAGACTGGTGAGGGGGCAGCAGTGATAGCTGACCCAGCCTCCTGCTGTCTTGTTGCTCTGCCATCCTGTGGTTGCTCTCATAGTTCACGATGGCTGGATACCATGTTCACTTTCCAGGCAGGAAGGTGAAGGGAAGGCAAGTTCCTTTCTGAAGCTTGAAGACTCTACCTAGGAATTTAGTCAGAACTCAGTCACATGGCCACATGTAGCTGCAAGGGAATCTGGGAAATGTAGTCTTTGTAGCCACCATGTGCCTGGCTAAACATTGGGAGATAGCTCAGTCTCTGCCACATCCATCTCACCTGTGGCCTTTCAAAATACTCCGTTCAAACAGAGCCTATGATTGCTGTATGCAAGGCATCGGCTGCTGTCTCTAGGGGCCGGGCAGGTAATGTGAGGGAGTAAAACTGGCCCAGTGGAACCCAGCCCAGGGTTGGGCCTTTCAAGAGCTGAAAATAGGATCTTAATGGGATATCTCCCAGTGTTGGCCAAATACAACAGGAAGCAGAAGGTGTCTCTGTTTGACTCCAAACCAGTTTCCCCACAGAGCCAGGCCAGCTCTGCCCTAAACTCCCCACTCCCTGCGCCCTTATGTTCTCTGGAAATTCCTGCTCAAAAGCCAGAGTTCCTTGTTTAGACATTTTAATATGGACCTTTTATGTTTTTAGATACTATTTCTGTTTATTCATGCCATCTCACCTACACATATAAAAAATATTCCATGACCAGAATGGTACATAAAATTATTTAAATGAAGAAGGCAAAGCCATCCAATGCCATGGCCCCTCCTTGTGTGGGAAAGCCTGGCAGGAAGCAGGAAGAGACCATCGAATTGCAACCCCCGCAAATTCAGAGTACAGCTTCCGATTTTGCTGCCCCATCTCCAAAGGCCCAGGCTGCTCCGCGTCTGGGACCCAGTCATGGCATTACAGGCCAGCAATACCTCACTCTCCCTGCCCCCTTTCAGGCACAAATCCAGGGCAGTTTGCTCTTAAAGCCCCGTTGCATCCATCTGGGAAAAATTAATGGTGATTACACAATCTGCAGCTAGTCGCAATTTCAAACTATTTAACTGGGAATGAGGGAGATACGAATAACAGTTTTCCCTTTCTTGTTAATTTTGTTTTAAACAAAAGGTCTTACTATTGTTTGATTTTACTGTTTCCCTGAAGGCTTTTTGTCCTCCAAAGACTAAAGCTCTAAATGAGCATCTTCTGAGTCCTATTTATCAGGAGCCCTTTGCCTTTCCGGGGGGGAAGCAAATCCCTGAGGCTCCTATCCCGTATCAGAGGTGGGTCCCACCAGCCACAGTCCCTACGGCCCTGAGTAGGGCTTCAGCCACACTCAGAGCTCCCCCCGGGCATGCCGGATGTAGTGTTGATGCAGCCCTGCTTCCTGGGTAAAGTCCTGACCACACTCAGTGCAGGCGAAGGGGCCAGGGGAGGCACGGGCCTCGTGCACCTGGCGGTGCCGCCTCAGAGAAGCAGCCTGCCCAAAGGTCTTGCCACAGTCAGGACAGGGGAAGGTGGGCTGGGTGGTGGTGGGTGCAGCTGACTGGGAGGGTCTGGCAGCTGGACCGTGGCTGCGCTGGTGGGCGATCAGGGCCTTGGAGGAGGGGAAAGAGCGGGCGCAGGTGAAGCAGATGAAGAGGACCCCCTGCAGCTTCTGGGCCACGAAGTCCGCTGGGTGCTCCCGCTTCATGTGACGCTCCTGGAACTTGGAATCGGCGAAGGTGATGAGGCAGCGGGTGCACTGCAGGGCCCCCAGGTGGCCTAAGGGACGTGGGAAGAGGTTGAAGGAGGCCAGCAGGAGTCTCCAGGACCTCTGCCAGCCCCAGAATCATGCCAGCAATGAACATGCGGTGCTTACTATGTGCCAGACGCTATGTCAGCGCTGGACAGCAGTACAGGCAAACTATTATTGGACCTGTTTTACAGATGAGCAGACTGAGGCTCAAAAAGGTTAGGCCCTGGTGGACAGTCACAAAGCTAGGAAATGAAATAGTGGAGTCAGGTCTGGAACCCAGGAGTCTGCCCTTCCCACAGGGCCATGTGATTAGGGCCTCTGGAGCCAGACTGCCTGGAACTGAATGCCAGTTCTGTGGCTTCCTGGGCAAGTAAAAACAGTGTTTTCACCTGGAAAACACTGTTTTATCTACTTCATAGGGCTGTTGGAAGGAACAAATGAATTAACTTATACAAAGTGCTTAGAACAGTGCTACACAGTGGTTTGCAATAATTATTGCTGAGAGAGAGAAAAGCAGCCCCACAGCCAGAGCTGGCCTGGCACTCAGATCTGGGCCTTGGCGTTCTCCTGCTGAACATAAACAGTTTCACAGAACATCATCAGACAAGGCCGTACTGTGACTGAGGTGAGTCAAGACAAGACCACACCATAATGCCATCTGTACACAGACAAACGTGAACACTGTCCAAACCACAAAAATGGCCAAACACCCACCTGTCCTGGCTAATATGCGTGCCGTGCCGGTTGCTGCTTTACTAAGCAGCTTGGGCTGTGCTTTGTTCCTCCCTCCTTCTAGGTAAGATTTATTGAGACAGCCAGCCACATAATTGCCCCCACTTCCTGGCAGCATCCATCCAGAGTAAAACCCCTTTCTTGAACCTTTCCCCAAATCGCCTACCACAAACCCAAATCCTGTAATAAATCCTTATTACTGAGATGCCCCATGGTGTGTGTGCTTCCTCAACGCAGTGAGCAGTAAACCCAGCTTGTTCCAACTCCAGGTATGTCCCTGGTGATCTTTGGCTGAAGAGCACTGACACTGTGGTTCTCATTGTTACAAATATTTAACCTCTCTTTGCCTCAGTCCCATCATCTGAAAGTGCTAATTATCAATTACAGAGGGTCTGCAAGGACTGGATAACAAATGTTAAACTCTTAGAATGTGCCTAGCACATAATAAGCATTCAGTAAAAGCTGTTGCTTTTTCCTGTGTTAACTGGCTACTTTCATAAACATCAAGCTTTCCATTTTTCTGCCGTTAGTCCTCACACCAGCCCTGTGAGGGGAATAGTGCCAACCCCTTTTAACAGATAGAGAAACAGAGGCCCAAGTCACACTGAAAGTCTGGGGCAGAGTTGGGATTGGGGCTCTCTGCCCTTTCCCAGCCACCTCTCCCACCCTAAGTCTCTCTGGATGCTGCTCAGTGCCTCTGAATTGCATCCCCTTCATGCTTATGTGGACAGTGCAGAGGGAGTATGTCTGAGAGTAGTTAAGGGTAAAAGTGGGGGAGGAACAGCTTCTGGGAGGGCAGCTCGGGGGCCATTACAGCTCCTTCCCAACAGGCAAGTCCTGTCAACGCCTTGGACACTGAAATGCTCTAGTAATCCTTTTAGCTTCAGCTCCTGCACCCCACCCTCCTCTGGTCGGCAGTACTCACAGATGCCGCCTCCTGGACTTTGGAGACTTCTTTCCTTGGACGAATCCTGCTGCTCCATGGTCTCTTTGGGGTGCGGGTCCTCCGTGGTGACTGGGACACCTCTGGTCAAGAGAAGAGCACGCAGGACATAATAGTAAATCAAGTGAAGTTGCTCGTCGCAGCCGGCTTTAGAGGGCCCACTAATCTTATGACCTTTGACTGGCTCTCCTTTCCAGCCTTTGACCCCCATGATACCATCTCCTTGGATTTTAACCTGATAGAGTACTCACTAGAGGAGATTCAATCCTCCCAAAAGATTAAGACTCCCCGGGTTTGTGGCTCCCCTTAGAGTCTTCTTACTTGCGTGAGACCTCTGACCTATGCTTCCTTCATTAAACTCCCTGAACTCCGAGCGCGGGACTCTTCATCTTTGACACAGCCTCATCCCCTTTTCTCCCACGTGTCTTGAGGCAGGTAGTGGTACCCACGCTTTAGCCTGCCTCTTCCCAGGAGACATCTTCCTTTGACATCCCGAAACTCTTGTACCACCCAAAGCTCCCGCTTCCCACGCGCGGTTTCAGCCGGTGTATCCCGCTGCCCCAGGCATTGCCCTCGGCTCCCTGCCAAGGCGGGTGGCTCAGGCCTCCGCTTTTCTCCGGACAGCAGGGGACTGCCTTTCGTTGCGCCTGTCAGTCGCTCGTCTCAGCGCCGTCACCCGAAGGGAAGCGAGGTGGGGCCCACCGAGTCTCAGGTGGTTTCCAAGGCCTTCCGCCTGATGAGACTTTTGAAGCGGAGATCCCGGATTGCCATCCGGCGGTGATGAAGTAGCGCCAGCCCGGCCCTCAAAAATAACGGGAGGGGTCCTTCTCTGCACTGGGGTGCGTAATGATGACGTTGCAAGCCACCCGTGCCGTACAGTCCTAAGCGTTTTGCGCAAGTGTGGTAGGTGCTCCTGGCGCGCACGCGCTGTGACTCCTTCATTGTTTAAGGCCCCGTACAGAGAGCGCCCTTCGGCCGTTCTGCGCAGGCGCTGTAAAGGGCCATGTCCCCGAGGTCACGCTTCCAAGTCACACCCCCTCCTAAAAAGAATGACGTCAGATTAGAGCCCCCGGAAAGCGTCTGGGCGTCCCCAAATCACGGCTTTCTAGCCTCTTCGGCCTCCGTTCTCAGACCCCAGGGGCGGGGCTTCTCATCGGCTGATCGGCTGCTGACTGCGCTCTCCCGTGTGCCGGCTGTCTGCTCGGTTGGTGATTTGGAAGGAAGGAGTGAAGGATTAAAAAAATCTGTGTCCCTGAGGGAGGAAGGGGCTGGAGGCCGAATTCTCAGTTTTTGAAGCGGAAAGGGAAATGCCCTGAAAGAGAGCAAACACGATTCCAGGGTCCCTGGGGAATAGGGCATGGGCGGCAGATTTCTAGGTGCTTGGGAGTGATACCCGAGAACGCAAGAGGGGACAAAGTGAAAGGCTGAAGTCTGAGACCAGAGTCGGGCTGCTAGAAAAGAAAAAGGCTGGGTGTTCCCTGACTGGGATCTTCTCTCTCCTTGCTTTACA